TTAGCATACACCACAGAGGTTAACCTCACTATAGGGAAAATGCCAGTGGAGACCTGGCGATGCACTCTGAGTAGGGCCAAGTGGTTCTCAGCTGGACCCTGGCTTTAGTACGTAGGCTACAGAAGAAAGTAATTTAAGAGGCAAGCTCTCATGTCAGACCTGGACTCAAATCCTGGCTGTCATTTACTAGGAGTGTGTTCTTTAACAAGACACTTAATGTCCTTTGTCTTGGTTTCCTTATATGTAAAGTGAGTACCACAGTATTTATTTCACAGCGTTGTAGGGAGGATTATTAAGTGAGCTCTGAGTACAGACACGTTGCCTTTGCTTTTTAGCTCTTTTGAGGCAGGGTTTCACTAGACAGCCCCTGCTAGCTTGGGACTCACAATATCCCCTGTTTTAACCTCCTAAATTCTGAGCTTACAGCATGTGTGGCCGTGTGTAGCTTTAGAATTCTTTTTGTTACTTCGTTTGTTTGCTTGTTTTACATAGTATATTGGACCCAAATATACTTTGTAAGTGCTCCCATGGGCCACACCCTCAGTCCAAAGGGCTCCTGATTATTGTGTGATACTAGGGTGTCTGGCAGGGGCCAGGAGAAAGCAGGGTTGAATCCACCATCGGTAGTGACTATTAGCCCAGTACATGGTCTTTTCACAGCACCGGGAGGGGCTTAATAAGCCTATAGCAACCATATTTACCAACCTTTCTTAAAAGCATGGCCCGAGAGTTGAAAAGAGTATCGTAAGTAAGGATTGTTCCAGAAAGTTTAGACTATACAGACACTATGGTTCATCCGGACTTCTTAGCACACAGAGTTCAAACATAGGAGTTCAAACATAGACTCTGAGCCCTGTCCTGGGGCAGTTTCTGCCATCTGCTTTGGGTGGCAGATCTGATTCTAAGGCTAAGTACCTCCTGAACGGGGAACAGTGTTTGTTTTCTGTTAGCTTGAAGCACTGTAGATGTGTGTGGGTGGCGTTGCTGAAGTAGGAAGAGTTTCCAGGGGATCTGAGTTGATGCTGCTCCTGTCTAACAGGACTGACCAGACATGACCAGTACTTGTGTTGGACCAATCAGGTTCCGGTCAGTCTAGAAAAGTTCTGCTAGGGGTCTCATTCCAAATACCACCCGGGAGCGTCTCATCCACTCGTTCAGTCAGCTAGTCACTTATTTAGCGAGTGCCTGCTATGTATCATGCCTAACAGAGACTTACAGACATCATCAGCCATGGTTCCTGCGCACAGGGGTTCAGAACCTGGCTTCTTGGGTGGGGAGTTGTCCTTGCAATTAATGCTATCTAGGCACTCTCATGTGTTCGTTCCCCCTCACTTGGAAACCCTAGGTCAGGACTCAGTGTTGCCTCTGCCAGTAGTTTTGCAGCTTTGCCACATAGCACTTCAAGCTGTGGCTGGTCCTTGCACTGGCCTCTTCTCCAGACTGCCTAAGCATTTTTTTTTCTGTCACCTCTGGTTGGGCACTCCGGGTAGCGAACACTGCCAACCACTTCGCTTTACTCCCCTCTCCCACACTCTTCTTCCATGGTTTCTCTTTTCCCTTCTTTTCTTTTCCTTCTCCTTCTTCCTAGTTCTCCAGCTCACCCTCTGCTAGCTCCAGGTTGCTCTCCATAGCTGAACACCCAGCCATGACACCAGGTTCCATCCTTCTGACAATTGTCCCCACCCTGGCCAGCACCCCCCAGTTGCTGGTGTGAAAGGTTTTTTCCCCTCCACTCACCTTCTACCTGCTCTTCCTCGGCTTCTCAGCTTTCTTCTTCCAGAAGCATCTCTCTCCTCCTTGCACCTTCCCGGCCCCTCCCACTTCCTTTCCTTGCTTCCGGCCTGCCCTCTCTGCCTTAGCTCCTCCCCCTTTCTTCACTCCCAAAAGAAGAGTACCCTCCCTGTCATAGAGCACAGAGCAGACCTGTGGCTAGGTTAGGAGGGAAATGTCTCCCTGTCTCCCCACCAGTAGTGGTGCTCTCTGCCTTCTCTCTGCCTTCTCTCTGCCCCATAGTTCACTAACTGACACCCCCCAACCCCGACGTGCTACTGTCATGATTCCTTTCACCTAACTCCTTTACTGCTTGTCAAAATCCCACCTTTCTTCCCACTCGGGACTGCCCTTGGGACTTCTCCCATCTGGGGTCAGTGTTCTCTGCAAGCTTGGTGGCCCTGTGCCACTAACACTTTCTAACCACCAGTCTTCCCCCCACACACACACACCCTCCTCCTTTTCCTCCCCCTCCGCCTCCCAGCATCACCTCTCCCAGCAGAGGGCTTCCTTTTTCCTTCCCTTCCAGCCCTCCCCGGCTCTCCACGGCTGCCTCTGTAACCTGTCTTACCACCAGGGCCTGTGTGTACAGAAAAATAAATAAATAAAAAGGTCAGCGAGTGGAGGGAGCAGCAATAACCCCTAAAACAGTACTATCAGTGGAACATGATTGATCAATTGAATTCCATAGCGGCTGAAAAATGTGGGATTAAGTAGTGTATTATACGCACAATGAGTTGAGGCATGATGTTCATTTCAAGTTCATTTCGCCGGCCTCTGCCACCAGATCAGGCAATCAATAGGGGCAGCAGATATCATATATCACCTCTCTGCGGGCTGGGGAGAGAGCACCATAATCTCTCGCAAATTTAGAGTGACAGATTTGTCAAGATCTGAAGGGCCCCTGAATAAATGAAGGCAAAGAGACTCCTCGAGTCTGTGACCTGAGGACAAAGCTTTAGTTCAGCTCCTACACACACACACACACACACACACACACACACGGTCACAGGGTGAGGTAAGCCACACACAGGCATGTACACAAATCCACATAGAGGCACGAAAAGCATCTCACCACACGTGTGTGCTCACACACATATTTGAATTCGCGCTCACAGACAAATGTACCTTCTACTCCTTAGGACCCATTCAGTAAGAGCATTAGATACAAACACCCCTTGATTCTATTTTCCCTCTGTCCTGGCAGCAGGGCATCCCCCAGAAGGTCAGAGGGTTGCAAGCAGAGACACTTAGGCACAATGGGACGTGGAGACAGTGGCAGACCGTGGAGATAGGCAAGTGTACATCCTGGAGAGAGGAGGGCTTGTGGGAGAAAGAGAACAAGGGCTCACATTTGTCATGTGCCCACGTTCTCTTAAAAGGATTCTCACCGTCAATTAGACTCATCCAGGTCCTTTTTTATCCAGGTGTTTATGACTTACACATGTACACGCATCGAGATAACTCACACAAAGGGGGGAAATAAGTATACTGTATTTCAGTTCCCCCCCTACAGGGCCATTAATGGTTCCAGAACCATGCAGAAAAAATACAACTACCAAACCTGGTTGTTCATCCATAAGAACATAAGAATGTCATCAAAGCTGATCTTACTGTCTCTCTGTCTGTCTGTCTGTCTGTCTGCCTGTCTCTCTCTCTCTCTTATTCTCTGCCTCTGTGTATGTGTATCTCTCCATATTTTTTCTTCCTACCTCTCCACTTCCCCCCAACACACACACACACATGCACACACACACACATACACACACACACACACATAAACACACACACACATACACACACACATAAACACACACATGCACACACACACACACTTTCCTTGCTCCTGAACAGTATGGTGGGAAGATGGGAGGTCCTTTTGGAAAGCAGTGCCTTTTGCTCCTTCTGGGAGGCCAGCGAGGGAGGATGGCTGTAGATTGAGGTTAATCAATATGTAATACTTTCTATGGTCTCCCAAATGATACTGTACGGTGTTACTGTATATAATGCAATATTGATTATATCATATCATATAATCACCTATAAACTGATATATATAATAGTCCCAGAGGAACACCCTGGGGCCTAGAACACAAGCTGGCCCCAGGCTCAAGGCTCCCTAGCTTGTTGTGGGCTGAAGGAAGCCAAGAAATAGCAGGCTGGGGCTGGGACTGAGGCTGGGACTGGGGCTGGGGCTGGGGCTGGGGCTGGGACTGGGGCTGGGGCTGGGGCTGGGGCTGGGACTAGAGGGCCAGCAGAGTTGCTAAGAGAGGGTCTGAAGAGGCTGTAGGACAGGCTGTTTGTCCTCAGAATGCTCTAAAAACTCCCAAGTGGCCAAACACTGGAAGTTAGGGAAAGAGGAAACAGAGACAAACAAGTTAATGAGTGACAGTGGCCCAAGTGGAGATTTAGAGACCAGACCGCCTTCTGGTTGGAAGCAGGCTCTAGTGGTGACCAGCCCTTCCTCCATGGAGTAAGTCTTGACTCCTGGTGGAAGTCTAATAGAAGAGCCAGGTGTTCCAGGAGCTGGGTCCTGCTAAGCCTGAGCCAGAGCCCTCCAGGGGAGAAAGATGGCCGGGTCATAGCCACCTGCATGCTTTCTGGAGTCTGACCGTGTGAATGCCCAAGCAGCCCCTATGACTGACTCCTCTTTCCTCTTGCTCTGTGTCCAGCCCAACCAGAGTACCACATCTTTGCTCTCAGGTCCCCTCCTTCCCAGATGTAGTTAACAACTTTACCCAGATTCTGTGTTAGGCTTAGCTCTGAGATTTGATGATTTTCAATCCTTGGAATCCGTGGAACTAAAATTTATCTGAACCCTGTTCCATTCTCCACAGTAACGCACGTCTGAGAACCCAGTCCCTCACCGAGTATGACTCAGGCTGGGGGATGGCGGAGGAATGGGAAAAGAAAGCCTTGGATACAGCCTCACGGGACCTCTTGCCTTCATTTCTGCCTAGTCCTTCTGCTTACCCTGCTATGATCTCCCTTCTTTCTCTCTCCCCAGATCTTTCAGAATTCTAGCTTCCTCATCCAGTCTCTGAGGAAGGGCCAGCCTCCTAGGCCTCTAGCCTCCTCTAGCTTGTAAACTGGAAGAAAGGGACCCTAGGAGGGGTACAGAGGCACGGGGCACAGGGGCCAGAGCCAAGTACCCAACACCTTGCCCACTACATCCTTCCTTATTTCTGTTGGCCTGGTTCTCATGACCTAAGTGTCTGTGTGTTTCCCAGATGTGTCTGAGGGCTCTGTCCCTAATGGAGACTCCCAGAGTGGTGTGGATAGTTTACGGAAGCACCTTCGAGCCGACACCTTCACCCAGCAGCAGCTGGAAGCTCTGGATCGAGTCTTTGAGCGTCCTTCCTATCCCGATGTCTTCCAGGCTTCAGAGCACATCAAATCAGAACAGGTGAGAGCGGAACTTCCTGTTCATCCAGAACAGAAAGGAACTGGGCAGAGTGAGGCCCTCTCACACCAGACTACCAACGCTGTGTGCGTTCATACAGTTCCTATGTGTGTACCACGTGAACATGACCGCACAGGCAGACGTTAAAGCATGGTTAAGAAAAATTATTTTGCCAGGCAGTGGTGGCGCACGCCTTTAATCCCAGCACTTGGGAGGCAGAGGCAGGCAGATTTCTGAGTTCAAGGCCAGCCTGGTCTACAGAGTGAGTTCCAGGACATCCAAGGCTACACAGAGAAACCCTGTCTCCAAAAAACCAAAATACTACTACTACTACTACTACTAATAATAATAATAATAATAATAATAATTTCAGTATACAGTCATTAAAAATTATAAGATATGGATGAAAGCATAAATACTGTCCTTATTCAGAGTTTCCAATTCCTTATGAAGGGCACTGTGTCATCCCTCAGTCCTCCACCCCAACCCCAGCTCTGGCATTCTGTGACCTTACTAAGAAATAGTCAGAAATATCCTCTTGCTATGACCCTTGCCCTGCCCCCACCAGGTCCCACATAAACTCTGTGAAAAATCCTCTTGCCCTGTGTCAGAAAGAAAGCCCACCCATACCTGCCTCTTTGTCCTTAATACATCCATCTAATGTGAGCCCGGGCTGGCTGACAGCTGTCTCAGCCACCCACGAGACTCACAGACACAGAAAAGCGCAGAGCACACCACATAAGCCCGAAGCGTGTACTACGTCAGCAAAGCACGACGCTCAGAAACATACCCCTAAAGCCTTCACACATCAGGGCTAGCAAGATGGTTCAGTGAGTTGGATAGCACTTGCTATCCAACACTGCAAGCCGGACAGCCTGTGTTTGGTCCCCAAACCCATGTAAAAGGTGGGGAGAGAGAACTGACTCCAGAGTTGTCCTCTGGTTTGCACATGTGTGCCACGGCATGCCCTACTCTCCATGCAATAAAATAATAAGTTTTTTATCTTAAAACTTAAATAAAGACTTCCCATTGCCCACCATCGTCCACCTGTCCTTTCCACCCCACACAGGACACACTACATAGCCCAACAGTCCTGTAAGGCCCATAAATGTGCACACTTCCTAGGACGGGTACTCAGTAACCCTTAGCACACATCAATGTAGTCCCCAACCAGCCTACAAAGATGGCCTAGGTCAGACCTCCAACTGCAGAACTATACAGCCCGCTATGCATACACACACACGCACATACACACACACACACTCTCTCACACACACACTCACACTACACACACACACACACACACTCTCTCTCTCTCTCTTGCTTCCCCTCAGGTTCCACACAGTATACTTGCACTCTAAGACTTCAACAGCCCCTAGCCTCTCGCCTTTCTCCCCGCCCGTCCTTTTATCCCATAAGCTGTTTGTCTTCATAAAACAAAAATCAAAAGTCTTTTTAAGGTGCCCTGAGCCATAAACCAACAAAGGAGGAGCTGGCCAAGGCGGGCGGCTCGGTGCACCCTCCCCAAGTCCCTGGCTGTATTACAATGAATAACCTTTATTTACTTTCATTAGACTATTAAACACCAGCACAGTAATTTTTCCCCCTGAAACTCAGAGCAGGGCCCATAAAGCAAATCCGAAGCCTAATTGAGTTCATTTTAATTTCTCTCCGATCACAGCGAATTACTCTGGTGATAAATCAGGGGGCAGCTTCACCCCCAGTAGAAGGCCTAATTTGCAGCTAATTACAAAACTGATTTCTACAGGAAGATCAATACGAGAAGGAATTGGAAATGACGAGGCAATCCCGTCCAGCCAAGGAGGGGAGGGGGTCCTCTGGGGGGGCCAGGAAGCGGAAGGGAAAAAAACGGACCCGAAAGAGCAGAAAATCAGTTTTAATTTAACGTAATATTAATCAGAGCAACTTTTCCTGCTTTGTGCAGGCTCCTGGTCTGCCCGGCTCCGAGGTCTGGCTTGGTGGTAGTTCTAATAAAAAGGCAATTACCCAAGTGTTTCGGGCAGGACACCCTTTCAGAGTCAATGGCTGGCCCCCTCCTACCCTTCTGTTAGCCATGTGGACTCTCCCCCTCCCCAATTTCATACCCCAGTGCACAGGCAGAGAGCAAGGGGCCCATGGGGCTGTCTTTGTTTGTTTTTTAAAAAGGGGCGCCCATACCCCATCAGCCAACCCAGCAGTGCCAGGCTGGCGGCCCCACTAGGTCCTTCCTCCAACTACTACCTCAGTCATGTGTCCAGCTTCATCTCTGCTCCGCCATGGCTCCTACTCAGAGGAGCCTGAGCACATCATACTTCTCGGCAAGGGGATCCTCATTGCTGTACTCCCTCCTGGAGCATCTTAGGCAAAAGATGAGGATGCTGTTTCAGGGATGCTGGGTAGTCCACCCCCAGTGTATAGACCGCATCTCCACCCACCGTGTCAGGTCCACCCCCACTCGCACCAAACTTTCCCTCCCTACCCAGCGAGCCCCTCCCCATCTCCCTGCCCCACCCAGCCATCTCCTTCCACCCCATCTGGGAGGGCTCCGGGGTCCTCCCCTCCATCTGCACACTGCATCTTTCCATGTATACGCATCAATAGAGAGCTGTCACTTTTCTCTCTCCTCCCAGGGGAATGAATACTCTCTCCCAGCCCTGACCCCTGGGCTTGATGAAGTCAAGTCCAGTCTATCTGCATCCACCAACCCTGAGCTGGGCAGCAATGTGTCAGGCACACAGACATACCCCGTCGTGACCGGTAAGGTGGCTTCCAGGAGGGTGGGGACACTGCTTTCAATGGGGTGCCTCACTCTATGCCATCTGGGCCCCAGTGTGACAAGTGGGCCCCCTGCCATGGTATCTGCAGAGTGAGAGAGAGAAAGAGAGAGAGAGTCTTCCTGAACAGATGTGCGCCGATGTAGGGATAGAAACATTGTGGCTAGGGTTCTGGGCTTCAGCCTGGAAAGGTGGGGGCTAGGAGCCAGCTGCTGGCTCTCTCTGTCCGTGCCTCCTTTCCTCTCTCCCAAGTTGTCTGGTTAAGGCACATGTAAACAAATGTTAAGGCAAATAGGCCAGCTGGGGAAAGTGGCTGAGAGGTTCCCATCTCTAGCCTTCACACTCCTCTGTCCCCAAGAGTGCGGCAGACTGGCTTTCCTCTCTCCAGGCAGCTTGGATAGCTGTGGCCTGGGACCTGAGGGTGTTCTGCAGAGTGGGACACAGTTACTGTAACCTTTCTACTGCTTCATAGAGGAAGCCAATGAGAGGAAGTTGGATTCTAAGGCTTGGGGAGGTCAAATGTGGGGGTTGGCGGAGAGAGGCACCTTGGCCAAACCTTCCAGGGGTGAGGGTCATGAAGGTACCTGGAGTGGCCATGCAGGAAAGATCTAACCAATAATGCTTCTGAACGTTGAGCTTCATATGCCAGCTTCAGAAGGTCCCTGGCACAGTAGAAGGGTTTCCGGGCCAGGAAAGTGTTCCCGTAAGAGAGACTCACATTGAGGTGTTATTAAAATTCACCTAATTATTCTGGAGGCACTAAAGCCAATGTGCCATTCCTACCTTGGGAGACAGGATGACTGAGAAGGGTCTCAGTGGGGACTGGGAGACACTGAGGCGTTACCAGAGAGTGAGCTGAGACTGCCTGGGGACAGGACGGGCAAGGCTGTAGGTAGCCAGCATCACAGCCAGAGGCAAAGACAGAGAACAGCTATTGGAGGGCTCTGTGGTGATTTGTCGGGATGGTGACTTGGTAACTTTGGGTAGATAGGAGCACAGCTCTGGCTGAGGTGGGCTCAAAGTAATCACCCAAACTTCAGGAAGCTCCTGAGAGCCTTCCTTTCCCATGCTCTCCTGAAGTGATATCTTGGTACAGCTATGTCCAGCAAAAACAGAGTTGTAGTCTTTAGCTAGGAATCCAAAGTGTGACTAGGCTTTTGGGGATCGAGGTCCTTAGCAAGGCCTGCTGAGTCAGTTCACAGCTTAGACCACTGAGTGGTTCTCAACCTTCCTAGAGGTGCACCCCTCCCTTTAGTAGTCCCTCATGCTGTGGTGACCACCCCCCACCATAAGATTATTTTTGTTGCTATTTCATTTATTCTTCTTCTTTTTTGGGTTTTTTTTCTTCGAGACAGGGTTTCTTTGTATAGTCCTGGCTGTCCTGGAACTTACTCTGTAGACCAGACTGGCCTCGAACTCAGAAATCCACCTGCCTCTGCCTCCCAAGTGCTAGGATTAAAGGCATGCGCCACCACTGCCCTTGTTTCTATTTCATAACTGTAATTTTGCTACTGTTATGAATCATAATGTAAATATCCAATATCTGATATGTGACCCTCAAGGGATCTCAACCCACAGGTTGAGAACCACTGTTGTAGGTCACCAGGTCCTGGGTATGAGCCCTCCAAAGCCCCATAGACTTGCTCTCTGAGCTTCCAACCCAAGCCAGGCCAGCTTTCTGATGCAGTGGATACTTCTCCAAAGTGGTGAGACAGCAAGAAGGACTTTTCTCAGTAGTCAGTGCCGTAGTCCAGAAGGTTGGAACTTCCTGGGGATGGACACATGGCTCTTCCGGGCAGGACTCCTGCTGCAGGGGACACTGGGGGCTAATGTGGAAAAGTGCCTCCACCTTGAACAGCCCCCATCAGTCTCCCCTCCACCCCCCATGGCCCTGGAACGGTCCCAGCTCAGCCTGGGAACATCTCCGGCTGATCCATCTGGATCCAAGTGTGAGAAAAGTTCATTTCAGACCCAGCTTGACATTCCCAGGTGGCAAGTTAGCAGTAACATCTCAATCTGTATGCGACATTTCAATCAAGCGAGGAGTAACAAAAGCACAGCCATTAACATTCGGAGCTGTTCACCAGTGGTAATGACGGGGAAACTCCGCTCAGAAACTGGAAATTACCAAAAAAGAGAGAAGTGTGGCGAGGGGTGGGGGAGGGGAGGGGAAGGGGGTGGGGGGGCAGGGAGTGATTTTTTTTCCACACTTAGACCAAGATCCAGTGTTTGGATTGATAGTGCCATTACTCGAGAAAGGGCTGCAGATTATGCTCATTCTTAAAATGTTTTTTTTCTTGGCAATTAAACGGTTGCAGATATTGATCTCTGTTGATTTTATGTCCTCTTAATTTGCATAATCTATTAAAGATGAATGATTCATGATGTGTTTATTGAGGGGACAGACAGAGTTTGCTGGAAGTACTGTCAAGGTGAGAAACAGGTATTGCCCAGAGATTTCATGGGCTGTCTTGGGACCAGGTTTAGCATGGTGGCTTTTGGGCCAGGATGAGATTGGTAGCATTAACCTGTGTATCAAGGACAGGCAGCACAAATGAACTTTGAGTGAGTTCTAGAGAGATGTTAACATCTGTGAGAACGGGGCTCCAAGCAGGCTGAGAGGGTGAGAGACTCTTGGTGTATTTGCAGAAATTCTTTCGAAAGATCCCACCCCATAGAGTCTCACTCTGTAGCCCAGACTGGCCACTCACAGCTACCCAACTACCCCACAGCCTCCCAAGTGCTTCATTGAAGAAGGGTGAACCGCTGTGCCCCGCTTGCAAGCATTCTTTAAACCCTTATTCCATTTGAGACTAGTAAGGGCTTTGGCAGAGGAAGAAGAAGGTATTTAGACGAGTGAAGGCTCATGGGTACTAAATCAGGGAGCTGCAAGGCCATGCTGTGTTTAGAGCCTTGGATGTGCCAGGGAATTTCACAAGTCCGCAGGTACCCAGCTCAGTCCTCCTCCCTAAGAGCCAAACCCCAAAGAATGGGTCTTAAGGAAGCTGGCTGGGAAAGCCTTACTTAGCCCAACCTGAGAAGCCAGACCTTATTGATATTCCTGCTGTCTCCTGGCAGTAGAGGCTGATTTCAAACTTCACCAGCCACTTGATACAGCTGTTCCACAAGGTCAGGACTGAGAGGAGACAGGAGCCTGAACTGTTGTGTGGAGAGAGAGTGGGAGCCAGTGGGCCAGGACACAGCTAATCACATCGCAGGCAAGGGTGGCTGCCACAGGCTAGGACTCAGCCCGATAGCCTCCTCACCCAGCTTCCAGCAGGGAACTAAGGCAAGACACTGATTTCTGGGGGTAGTGTTTGGAAGTTCGGCCGAGATTTTAATTTCACTGCATCACAACTCAGCAAGCTGCCAAGTCAAGCTGGTTATTTAAATTTATCACCCACTCTCCCCTCTGCTGCTGGGTTGCTCTAGCTCGGCTGCATCTCTTTGCTCCAGCCCACTGCTCTAGGCTGCCGGTCTGGAACAGAGCCGACTCTCAACTAAGTGATAAAGAAAATGGGACCCACTAGTTGGGAGAATGGGGGGGGCACTCTGGCTTCCTTAGGGCGGTTGCTTGGGGCTGCCTTCAACTGCCTTCATATCCTCTTCAAAGAACCCCATAGGGAAATGGCCTTAACCCTTAAGTGTTCCACAGACCCTCTGGTCTGGGACTCTATAGAGAGCCCTCTGCTATAGCCGCATGCTGTATCATTCACTTCTTAAGTTTCCCAACACCGGTAGCAACAAGAACTCTGCTTCCCCATGGCTTCCTCTCTGGCCTTGGCTCGGGCTGCAGCAATAGGTGAGCCTGCAGAAACCCTGAAAGGGATACTGATCTGGAAGGAAGAGATGAAAACAAGGTCTAGGACCCCCCCCCCCAAGTCACTGAGGGTGCCTTGGCTTGGGCAAAGTCTGTTCTATAGAAGACAGCAAGCTCCTTCCCAGAAGCTGTGGGCTGAGTTGATGTAAAGGGACTTGGTGCTCACAAAGCTCCAATGCTTCCTGGAGAAGCTAAGGAATACACGTGTCCCCAGAGCAGCTGCATAGAGCGGGCTTCACTGGCCTCTAGTGGGCATCACTACCAAGCACTGGGCAGGCCTTGTGCAAATGCAGTTCTCAGAGATATGAGAGGAATGACGCTGGTCCTCAGAAACAAGGGACTGAGCTTAACACAGCAGAGCTGGGTAAAATATAACAGCGGACCAGTTAATGTGCAGCCACACCTCGCTCTGGAGCCAGAGTCAGAGCAGGATGTGAGACACTGTGAGTTTCACACGGAGGTAAACCTTAGTGTAGGAATGTGGAGGTGTAATGCACGCAGACAGGGCATGTGATCTTGGACCCAAGAAAATAGAGGCAGGACTGGGACAACACTGTCCAGGAACTGGAGAGCCACAGGCTATCCCCTACAACCCAGGGAAATAAAGGAGAGGGGCACATATTATTGTGAGAAATGGAGACAGGAAAGCCCAGATGTAGATCTAGGTCCAAGTTCATCTCATAAGTAGTCACAGAAACCTCAGGCCAAGAAGGTACCCAGAATTCTGTGCAGGGCAATAGTCCACTCTGGTGCCAGCAGGGACAGTGTGAACCCTTCTCTGTAATGACATCTTATGATCCAAGATGCAAAGGACTCCCATTGAGAAAAACAAACAGAAAGCCACCATAGAAGATGAGCTCACCATAAAAAAAACTTTCCACATTTCATGTGACAGTGAGCCGTCATGCAGGGACATTAGCAGGAGGACAATTAGCATCCTCGAGAACTAGCTAGCATGAAATACCCCAAAGTGAAGATCAATTAAAGAAAAAGATCTAAAAGAAAGAATAGTTTTTATTTTAACCCAGATCTGGACCCAGGAGCCCTTCCCCACAGTGCTGAGCCAACTGTCAGATGATGGAGACCCAAAAGGCCAATGGATAAAAGGGAGGAGAGCTGGGGGGGGAGGGGGAGGGGGCGGGGAGTTTATTCCTAGCTTACCCAGATTCAGTGTCTTCTCCGTAGAGAATCTTACTTATTTTGGATAATATTGATTATGAGAAGCTTTATGATAGGACAGTGCCCTTCTCTACTATGTGTGCCGTGTATGTTGCAAAGGAAGCTTTGAAGAAGGTACCCAAGAGGGGAGTGTGCAAGTCAGACAGAGGAGGTAGAAAATGTCAACTTTGAACAGAAGTGGGGAGGTTGGTGACCCCAGGTTCAGAGGTAAAGAATAGGAGTGACCCTGGAGTCCTGGGGACCAGAGGAAGCAGTGCTGTGAGATAGCCCAGATGCAGCTCAGTACCCTGCACAGGTTGTCTGTATGTCCAATGGACAGCAAAGTGGCCCTCTGGCAGATAGAGCTGTGGACCCTGGGAAACCTCCTTCTCCAACTCAAAGAGTCCTGAGTGCCTTCAGGGACCTCCCCTTTCCTGTAGTTAACAACTCCTTTCCAATGCAACTGCATTTCCCCCATAAAATAAACACATAGCCCTTGGCCAGCCCCTCAGGAGTAGGAGAAGGCAATAAAAGCTCTGAAATGTTTCTGAAAGAGGCTGGGAGTCTCCTACTCTTGTCTATTGGCTCAAAGCCCCTGATTAGCTGGAGGAATTTAGGGCACAGACATCAGAGTTTCTCTCGAACCTTGAAAGAAGAGGGTGAGGCCAACTCCAGACAAGTTGCCAAGTAGGAGAGCAACCATGGCAACCAAGCCAAGCCAGAGGGCTCACCTGTATTTAGGCTGAGAAGGCACAAGGCACAGAGGTGAGGCCTCCTTTAGCTATCTCTGAGGCCTCTGGCTGCATCCCTAAGGACCCCCAACCCCAGACCTCCCTGTGATTTAATTATGGAGGCATTTCCATAGCAATGAGACAGTGACAGATATGCAGTGTCCTGGGCCAGCAGCTTAGGGAGATATTGGATGGGACTCTTCCTTTTCTTTTTTTATCCAGTCTACCTTTTGAGGAGAAAGATGTTAAAAAGAAGAGACACTAACCCACTCTGGGACTGAGGGCAAGCCAGCTTAGAATAGAATCAAAGATGAGCTGTTGTAACATAGATCCTGGGAATGATGGGCTAGCTTCCCCAGGGGCGAGCCTGGGAAGAAGCACACAGTCCAACAGTGGGGCCACATAGGGAGTCATGGGGGAGGTGACAAGGGTTTGGGGACTCTTAGCAAACACGTTCTGTGGCCTTCTAAGCTGAGCCTGAATTTGGTCCGCATCATGGAATCTCCACCACTTCTCTTTATCTCTTCTATCCATAAAACAAATCTAAGATGCTGGGTGTGTCAAACACTTTTCCTCCTTCATATACCCTCCTTGACTCATAACTCATCTATCAATTAGGGAGACAGGCCCGTCAGAATGTGAATCAAAACCTTTTTCACACATCTATGGTCTTTATTTTAAGTGCATACAGTACCCAACCCAGGTTAAGGAGGGCTGCCTGGGCAAACACCCTGTTCTCACAAATGAGGGAGGTAGGGAAGCACCTTTCACAGTGCTGCAGATGTTATTTAGAGATGCTTAGGGAAGCCCAGAGAGGGGCCCCTCAACACTTAGCTTGTTTACTCTGCTCTTTGGCACTTCCTAAGAAGAGATTGCCTAAGGAAAAGACTGCTAACACAACCTTTCCCGAATGACCAGAACTGTGAACAGTGACGCCCTAAGGAATGTCATAGGCATGGCTCAGAAATGTCTTAGTGGCCTTAAAGTCACCAAGACAAGACTTGAAACTTGTTTCTCAAAGAACTAGATACCTACAAGATGACAGGAAGGCCCTCCTTAGCTGGCGCCTCAGGACAAATAAGCCAATGCCTTTTTTGACCCGAGATTTGCACCACTCCTGCTGTCATTTCTGGGAGAGCTTTGCTGTCTTCAGCTTGGAATCCTCCTGCTCTCCTCCCCAGTGGTGGCTGGGCTGCCTGGCAGAGGAGGAAATCCAGTGCCGGGCTCTGAAAGCAGGCCTAATGCTCCAGCAGCTTAAGCAGCCGCTTTTCCCTGGGATTAGGGTTTCACTTACACAGAGCCCCTGAAAAACTGCGCTTTCAGAAGGATTAGAGCTGACAATTCGGCTCTCTCTGGGAACAAAATAAAGCCAGAGAGAACCTAGGAGACACAGAGTATCAGGAGACTGTGCAAACAGGCTTACCCTCTGCCACCCAGCATGAGGGTCTCTCATGCAGTGGACTATTAAGTCCCTGGCCCAGCCTCCTGAGAGCCAGCCAGCCCCTGCCCAGCTCCACTCTTCATTTAGAGTCAGAGAAAACAGTACCAGGAAGCAAGCTAAGAAGAATATTGGAGATTTCTCTTCCAGAGTCTCAGTTTCTACCTCTGTAAATGGGCCAAGTTTCCTTCCGGCCCTTTGAGTGTGCGGTTCTCAACAGCACTTGTAGTCTTCTCTTAGACTGAGGCTGCAGTTCATCCATGACCCAGCTGCGTTAGAAAAAATCCCCTCCTGTGGGTCCCTGTGCTGCTGTACACAGCCCTATAAGGAAGGGCCTTGTGTGAGGAGAGGAGGCGGGAACAGCCCGACCAGGTGTGTCCAGATGTTTGTGGTCAAGGGGCAGACATCACTGAGCCGATGCAGATCTAGCCTCTCTACCTAGGACAACCTGGGACACAGGTCCAGCTGTCAGTGGACAGTCACTCAGCTAGAACAGCCACCCTGAACTGTGAGCACAGCCCCCTCTGCTGGAGCCTGGAGTAGGCGAGCCTAGGGCTAAATGTAGCTGCAAAACAGGGGCCTAGGTGGGGTCCTCCCACAGGCACAGAGCACTGTTTTAGAAGACAAACTTTGGGAGAGTCTGGGAATCTTAGAAATAAAACCCTAAATGAAATAGAAAACCGTTCTCCTGTCTCTTGAAAGCAGATTCAAAGATCACTGCTTCAATATATTAAATACAACTTGCAAATGCAAAAGATAAAATATACTTAGGCAGCAATTAAAAAGTCGGTGGCCATATTCTTGTGTGTATTATAAATGCTTTGTGTCACATGTAAGCACAGACCTCCAGCCTTGAGGACCTCATTTTCTGAGAGGCAGACAAACTTGGGGAGAGGATAGTAAAATCAAGAGTTATGTTTTCTGGCCTTAGGGTCCTCCACGGTGTCAGATGGAGAGCAAAAATGCTTATTTTCAGAGAAAGGTGCCAAGAAAAAGCATCTCTAAACTCTGTGGCTATAACTTCTGCTGTATAAATCTGTGTCTAATAAGCCTAGTTGCAAAAGCCATAACTGGCAGCAGTTTCTGCTTCCTGGGCCGCTTCCATCTTCCTATTCCCTTGGTCTTCTCAATGCTGACACTGGCCTGCTCTTGAGAGAAGTCTGATGCCTCACACTTTGCTGTTTCTTTCTTTTAAAAAAATATTTCTATTATTTTAATCATGTGAATGTGTGTATGTCGAGTTTTGGTACATGTGCATGAACGCATTGCCCACAATGGTGTGCGGGCCTTCTAGAGCTGAAATTATGGCCACTGTAAGCATCCTGATGTGGGTGCTGGAAATTGAACTCAGGAAAATTAGTACATGCTTTTAACTAGCGAGCCATCTCTCCAGCCTATTTTGCTGTTTCGTGTATAGTTTTATAAATGTTATTTGAGTAGTTGCAAACAGATCAGCTTCTTATACCAAAGAATAGAGGTTTGTTTATTTTATAAACATAAGTTATTTACTTTGGGGTGATTAATACTTTTGAGAACATGATTTTTTATAATTTATTTTTATTTTATATGTATTATTGTTGTCTGCATATATGTCTGTATGAGGGTGTCAGATCTTGGAGTTATGAACAGTTATGAGCTGCCATGTGGGTGCTGGGAATTGAATCTGGGTCCTTTCAAAGAGCAGTCAGTGTTCTTAACCACAGAGCCATCTCTCTAGCTCTGAGAACAATTTTTTTTAAATGTACCTTCTACTCAGAAAAAGGTGTGTATACGCCGGGCAGTGGAGGCGCACGCCTTTAATCCCAGCACTTGGGAGGCAGAGGCAGGTGGATTTCTGAGTTCGAGGCTAGCCTGGTCTACAAAGCAAGCTCTAAGACAGCCAGGACTACACAGAGAAACCCTGCCTCAAAAAAAAAGAAAGAAAGAAGAAAAAAAGAAAAAAGAAAAGAAAGAAAAAGAAAAAAGAAGAGAAAAAAGAAACAGACAGATAGCCCAAGATGTTCTCTCATAGGACGGATTAAATTAGCGTGACCCCAGGTTACATTCCCAGACCAAATACTCTCCGTTTTTAGGTCTGTCATATTTGGAGATATCATTCCAGTCCTGATTTCCTGGTCTATGACTTCTGTAGTCCAGGGTCCTCTGTGGATAAAATGTAAAACCCTGACCATAATCCTCAGCTTCTCTGTGTTTCAGTTTATCTGAGAAAAAAAAATCAGGAATTAAAAATAGGTCAACTGATAGAACTGGTAAAAGACATAAAGGAGGTAACACACACGTAAGATGTTGAAGGCAGTGCCTAGCTCACGACAGTTGTCCAGTGCATTCTAGAGAGACCAGGAGAAGAGAGACTGCTGACCCAATACCCAGCAAAGTGGCACATGCGATCTGATGACTGAAAATTTCTAACTTCTCCATAAAGTCTGGCACTTGGCTTCTGTCCGTACTTGGGAGAGAGGCTGCACTTAGAAGCCTCCAAAACAGTTGATTTGCTCTGGCCCATTTGCTAAGGAATGCCTGACGAAAGTGCACTGTCTGATTCAGATGGAGCGGCTGCTGCAAAAATTGGCTTTGGAGTCTTCAGGGACTCCTGCAGTTGAACTGTAAAGACATCCTCACCAAGTGCAGTTCTTCCAGCACTACTGGGTACTTTAAGATCCTCCACTACTCCTGCCTCTCAGGGATCCTTTTTGTGTTAGAAAACTCTCAAAGGAGCCGAAGACGCCACCCCATAGAGTTTTACTACAGACCTTCCATGCGCCTGCTCATTCCTTGTGTCCCTTTCCTTCCCTGCCTTGCCTTAACGGCAATGTGGTGGTTAGAGGCTTTGCTTGCTGGAAAACTTCTTGTTAGCTCTTTTGGGGGAGTATCTGGGTCCATGTTGTCATTAAAGGCAGTGTGGCATAGACATGGCTTCTAATGTTGGTGCCATCATTTACTGGTTGTGTAATCACATGAGAGTCATTATGCCTCTGTGTCTCCATCTTTCTACCTTTAAAACGAAGGCGTGGTCCTTCAGAAGACTCATCTTTGAAAGCTTCATAACCTCAGAAAGCAAGTAGGCAGCACGAAATGCCTACTCTCTCCTAGTAACGTTGAGTTTTTATCCGTTTTGAATCCTGGTACTGTTTTTATGTTCCTGGCATTGTCAGTGAGCAAAGCAAATGTTTTACTACTTCCTGTCTTCCACGAGATGGCACATATTTTATAAACTGACGTACTCTGCCGTGAAGCAACTTTTCGCCTGTTTCTGGGATTCTGCTTGTCTGTGTAAAGGAGATGGCCAAGCCATCTTACAGTTCCAGTCCCCCGCCCCCACCCCGACCCCAATCTCTCTGTAGCACCGTAGTACCCAGTGCTCTGTCAGTTCCCCCATTTCCCATTGCTATTTCCCTACTGAAGGAGGCTTGCTCAAAGAACGCTGCTGGGCAAATGGTATGACAGCCTCAGTAATTTGAAAACTTCCTGCATTGTATGCTTTCCATTATTGACAATGGTGTTCCAGGAGAATATACGACTCTAGCCAGGCTTTGGTCAATTTTTCCCTGCCCTTCAGGTGTCAGCTGTGTATAATGAAGTCATTGAGCATGCTTTGTATGCAGTGGCTTGCACCTTGTTGACTCAGAGGTCCTGAACAGGTACCTCTCTGTGGTGACACTGTTACAGGACAAACCACACACACATGTGACAAACACTAGAAATCTCTAATGCTTTTTTTCTCACCATGGGCCTCTTCCCCGACATTTTTCAAATCGCTACCTGCAAATAACAGATTTTTTTTTAAAAGTAGAATTTGAAAATGTGCCTTCCAACCAACTGTTCTGAGAGTGACTCCCAGCAGGCAAAGCCTTCTACCTGCTGAAAGCTGAACATACCATTTCACAGGCGAGATAGCTGTGGGAATAAACTTTGCAAAAGGATCACCTCCAAGTTAGCTGAGGAGACAGCTTCTGAACTGCCTACCCTTTCTTTGTCTCTTCCAAATATAGTTAGGCTTTGTTTGTTTGTTTGTTTGTTTGTGAATACCTTCCATCATAGGGAATTTGTGATAAACTAGCTGTAGGAAAGCTGGCAGTGAAGATCAAGTTCAAACACATTCTACTTTTCTGTTATTAACAAAGATGCATGATGCCAAACATGAGAAAAATAGAGGGAGATCAGAGAAAGGGGTAAAGAAGGAGAGGAGAGGTGTACTCTGCTTCCTGGCCACTTTGTAAATGTTAAGATTACAGGACCTGGGGGAATTGAGTTCTATGTCTCTCTAGCTTCAAAACCTCCACATCTCCCATAATCCTCTTGTCTTCTAGGTCTTCTTTGACCAATAAATGCCATGTTGCTCATCTCTCTCAAGGAACTAATAGGTATTTCATCTCAATGTGCACTTTGGGTCCTCTCCACTAAGATGGTCAGGAGATATGTACTTTTATTTTTATTATTGGCAACAGAAGTCAATACAAGGAAAGTTACAACAAAGCAAACACAAGCAAGTCATGGTGGCACACACATCTGCACTTGTGAGTCTGAGGCAGGGGGATCACAAGTCTGAAGCAAGCCTGGGCTGGATGTAAGACTGTCTCAAAACAAAACAGGAAGCAAACAGAAAGCAAATGCAGATTCTTCTACTGCCTAAGATTTGGAAGTGACTTCCTCTTTGCTAGCTCTCCTCTGTCTAGTGAGTTTCAGGAAACGTAAGGGATTAACCACATTACATAGGTAAAAAAAAGAAATCATTCTGTTGCATGATAAGATAGTCCCCAGAGATGAACCTATCACTGAAAATCTTTGTATGTAAAAATTCTCCTCTTGCTTCTATTTATTTTTTTAGTTTCCTAAGCTTTTATTTATTTTTATGTGTATGGGTGATTTGCCTGCATGTGTGTCTGTGCACCACATGCCTAGTACCCAAAAAGGGCAGAAGAGGGCATCAAATGCCCTGTAAACGGAGTTACAGATCGTTATGAGTTGTCATGTGGCTGTTGGGAATCGAACCAGAGTCCTCTGGGAGAGCAGCCAGTGCTCTTAACCATGGAGCCAACTCTCAGCCCCGTTTCAATTGATTTCTTTTAGGAAAAAAAGATTCAAGCACATTTTGTTCTAGCTTTGCTTCTCTGCAGTAGATCAACACATATGAAACAATTAGGAAGCCATTATAATCCATCAGGAATCGGCTGTGCATGCAATGGGGTGTGTGGGGGTGGGGGTAAGAATCGATCAACAAGCCCTTATTGAGAGTCAGCTGTGTTCTCAACTCTGCAGGACAGATCAGAATGTGGGTCCTGCCCTTGAGTGAGTTATGTTCTGTTTGAAAATGAAAACCTTGGCATGAAGGAGCAGACCTGATAATGCATGTTGTCAATCATGGAACACGGATGTCATAGAAACCTGAAAGAAACTTCCGAGACGTGTAGAAGGATGGAGATGTTAAGGCTTGAGCTGGAAGAAAGCTATGAGTGAGACAGAAGGAAAGGTCACAGCAGAGCACAGGCATTTTACGTGGAGAGGTTGAAACAACCAGCAGTGGGGGGCACTGAGCATCTGCAGGGTTTACATCCAAACTGCAGCCTACAGGGAATCAACGGCAGTATTTACAAGGAAGTAGTCCTGTGAAAGCAATGTTTCCAAAGGACTAGTGGTCACGTTTTAGATTGGTAGGATGAAAGAGTGTGGAGGCAGGAATACAAGCAAAGAAAAGCCGCTGGAACAATACTATAAATGTGATGGGGAGATAGAAATTAACATAAGAGAGGTGCCTGAGGAGAACTGACCACATACCGGAAGAGACGGGAGAGGAAGGCTATGTCTAGGGCTCTGAAGTTCTAGTTATATCTTCAAAAGGACTGGGCCTCTGATGGAGTTGCGGATGGATCTGACTTTATTCTATTGAGTTTGAGGTGACAGTGGGTCAGCTACTGAGGATTCTTAGTAAAAGCCTCAGCTGTCCCTCTGGACTCTTAAAGAAGGATGACTCTCTCAGGTGTGCCGATATGGGGATAAGAAAGCACATGTGTCTGAGGAGTGAAGTAGGTGATGTCTTCACGTCAACAGTGGTGCAGAAAGATGCTATGGAATGCCCATGAAAGGTCCCATGGACCTGACCATGACTAGGACCCAACTTAGGGGGAGGGAAAGTGAACTAGGGGAGGTGTATATAGTGCTATGACATCCTCCAGCCACACCTTGCCTTCTTGGGGTCAGATGGAGGTGTAAGGAGCACAGTGACTGTCTGATGAGGAGGACAGGGAGATCGTCAGCAGATACGTGGGCCCCATAAGAGGGTAGGCTGTAGTGTATGGGTGTATGGGAGGTAGGAAGGAGCAAATACTGTCCATGAAGACTGGAGTATGCTAGGAGGTGTCCCCTTCACAGAAATGGAGGGGCAGACAAGGAAGGGAAGCCAGTCACATGCAGCTGTGTTCCAGAAGAAATGTCTCGGGTAGAAGTATCTCTCTAACATTGGCTCACTTTGCCTCCCCTCCCTGCTCCTGGCAAGGAAAGCCCTGCCTCCCATTCTCTAGGCTCTGTATAACAGAGGTCTAGTCTCCAGGGAGGCTTGCTGGTACGGGAAGCAAATTTTGCTCTTTGGAACTTCATCTGATCTGCTTGTCCTCAAAGTTCCTGGTTCACTTCAGAGATGGCTTTCTATCATTTAAATGCTACAATCATAGCAAAATAGCCTGCTGGTTAGTCCCCTGTCTTCCTGACCTACATTCCACTCAGAATAAAGCATCTACCCTCATAGATGGTGGTAGTAAGGTGTCTTCAAAGCCTGAAGGAAAGATGGGGTAGGGAAGAGGAGACGTTGAGGAGAGTAGACAAGATGACAGAGGTCCAGTAGGGCAATCATAGCTGAGCATCTATGGAAAAGGAGGGAAACCAGGTCATCTCCACCAATCGACATCTGGGTTGAGGCTTTCAGAGATACAAACAAGGGCAGATATACAGATACACACATACGCACAGATAGATACACAATGAGCAATATAAAACAGACACACACACACACTCAGACATTTGTATCCATATCTAGGCACTTGGGAGCCCAATTGCCCAGTTGCACATCTCCTTCCTCTCTGAGAATGTCCTCTCCCTAGAGCATCCCAGGGTGAGCTGAGGCAGACCCCTCTCCTCCAGGCCTCACTCCTTCCCCTTTGTGTTTTTCCAGGTCGTGATATGGCGAGCACCACTCTACCTGGTTATCCCCCTCATGTGCCCCCCACTGGCCAGGGAAGCTACCCTACCTCCACCCTGGCAGGAATGGTGCCTGGTAGGTGACAATGCTGTAGATGTCTCATCTGGGTGGGGGTAACTAAATTGTGGGCGAGCTGTTAAAGGACTATAGTCTGTGGCTGGGAGTGGGGGGAGAACCAACAAGCCATTGTCCTGCAAACCACTGTCCTTCTATGGCCACAGCTGACCCTTTAGAAGCAATGCAAGGAGGAAACATACAGAAATGACCCCTTGTCAACACAGCTTTAGGTTATACCCCCTCCTCAGCACCCATCCTTCCAAGCCTATGCCCCAGTACCCCAGCCTAACTCAGCTAGCTGACACTGCTCAGAAGAGCCTGCCCTGGTTTCCATGGAAACTTGGAACCAAGTTTTCATTTTCAGGGGCACGGCAGTCATTCAGTCAAAGCTATGCTGGTTCACACCAAGCCAGGGGAGGAGACTACTGTGGAGAACCAATCCCAGTCTAGAGAGAGAAGGAAGCTAGTCTCAAACTGGAGTGGAAGACAGGAAGGAACCAGAGAGACGTCAGCTTCAGAGAAAAATCAGCTACAACTCGACATTTCCTCAGAGGACCCAGGCCCTCTGTGCTCCTCTGGGTCTCTAGTGTACCCTTTTGCTGAGAGGCATTGGACTGGAGTTTGGGGTTCAGGAGGCAGAGGCTGTACTTACAGCCTGGTAGCTGTCCTCTCCACCCTTCACCCCAAATGGGAGTGGCTTAAAGTCAAAGAGAGTGAAGGTTCTTTTCCGCAGAAACGCCAAAATCTCTCACCTTAAAATGGCCAAGACTCTCCCAGCCTGCAGCCCGCTGCCTCTGGAGCCCTTTTGTGTGCCCCCCCCCCCCGCTCCTTAAGTTCAACCCTCATTGGTAGGGGGAGAAAGAGAGACCAGAAAGGGTGCTTGGCCTCATTCATCAAGGCAGAGCCCTGAATAAGCAGAGATGGGGTTGAGAAACTAGGGGGCCCATTGCAGCCTGTTAAGAGAATGGGGCCAGCTGAGAGAAGTTGGAGGTGCGGATGAAGGGTTTGGGGCTCACACTTGGGAGAAGGCAAGTAGAAGCGTTGGTGGGGGAGCAGGGAATGGCTTTGGAGGAAGATCCCAGCAGTGAGCAGGTGGAGGCTGGAGGAGGTCTTAGGGAGGTAGGGGGGTTGGGGGGAGAGGAAAGAGTGGGGAAGTGGGGGTTGGGAGTCTACAGGGAGGTAGGGATGAGGGGAGCCGCAGAGAGCTCATGGTGGCAAGGGGGGAGTCGTTAAACAGAATCTAGTGCTGATGAGGAAATTACACTTGTTTCATTAGCGATGGGGAAGGAGATAGCTCAGTTCCTCTTGGTCACAGTTGAGCTCAGAAGCTCATTATCCTGCTGCACGCATGCTTTCCCTCCTCGTCAATAAACAGGCTTTCCAGTGGCTGCATCCCCCACCCCCACCCAGCTCCTTCTTGGAGTGGGGCCCCTTCTCCTCTACTTAACCCGCGGTTAGGGATCACTGTAAACAGTCTGGGGTCATCACACAGGAGAAAGGGCGAGGGGGAAACCCATAGGCCTGGCCTTTCTCCTCCTGGAGGGAGGGAAGCAGCTCCCAAAGGCTCCCAACCCACTGTGCCCTCAGCTACTCACTGCTCCTGCGGGCAGTCCACTGGATTCCAGCAGTTTCCTTCCCCAATTGCGTGGCCTTTGTATTGAACCTCAGGAGGGGAAAGTGGGAGGGGTGATTTCCCAGGAGAGCACCACCACTACCACCTGCCTAGCTTTGGCACAGCTCTGAGATGCCATTCTTAGGGCTTTCTGGGACAAAGTGTCCCAAGGGCCTTCCTTCTCATTCTCCCCCCTCTTTCATCCCGTGGAGTCCCTAAAGCAAGTGTCCACTGGAAAAAGCTCTCAGCTCCCAAGTTACTTAAATGGAAGCAGCCAGACCAAGGCTCAACCCTTCCTGGGCAGCGCTCAGTGCTCCTCGGAGGCGCCCAGGCACAAACCTGCCCACAGATTCCCTCCATGCCTGGGTGTGCAGGGATCTGGGTACTTCTTGTCTGTGGTGGCTGGCCCCATGCAGAGCGCGAGAGCCTGTGGATTACCTGGCCTCTGTCCTGCTCTCAGGGGCCCTTTCCCTGCTTGAAACGTCCAAGACTGGGACTAGTGAGGACAGGAGGGAAGAGGCCAACTGGACACGTTGAACGCCTCTAATTCCAGTTCCCCGCCCTCCCACAGGGAGCGAGTTCTCAGGCAACCCATACAGCCATCCCCAGTACACCGCCTACAATGAGGCTTGGAGATTCAGCAACCCCGCCTTACTAAGTGAGTACGCCACCTGGCAGGCCGGCGGCTCCCAAGGTCGCCTGCCCGCTCGCCAGCTTGGGCGCGCAGGCTGCTTCGGGACACAGATCCCACTCAGGACCATCCCAATTCTGGGTACCCGGATGGGCCAGGGAGACAGGCTCATTAGAGCAGCGCTGGGTCCTGGGGATCCCCCCAGGACGCCTGCGCCTCCAGCCTCCTCCCTTCCCTGCCTCTCGGTCACTGGAAGGCTCTTGGCCAACAGTGGCCGTCGGACCCCTTGGCGGATCCGCAGCCGGGTGTCCCCTGTCCTGTCCCTCTCCCGCCCTGTGGATGCAGCATTCCTTCTGGGCATCTGGCCTCGGGGCCGAGCCACAGTCCTCCAGGCCTGATCCCGCTGGACCCGGGGAGGGCTTTTCTTTGCTTTTCTTTCCTTTTTTGTTCTCCTGTTTGTCCTCTCACCCAGCCCATTCTTCTCCTGTGTTAACTTCCAGGTTCCCCTTATTATTATAGTGCCGCCCCCCGGGGCTCCGCCCCTGCCGCTGCTGCCGCTGCCTATGACCGCCACTAGTTACCGCGGGGACCACATCAAGCTTCAGGCAGACAGCTTCGGCCTCCACATCGTCCCCGTCTGACCGCCCACCCCAGAGGGAGGGAGGACCGAAGCGACGCGCTGCCTCTCGGCCACCGTCCCTGTCCCACCCCCACCTCCAGACACCCCGACCCCCGCAGCCCTTCACATCACCCTGTCGATGGCCAGACAGGACAGGTGGAGCTGCGGTGGGACCCTCAGGCCCCAGCCCCGCCCGTCGCCCCTCCCCGTCTGCCTGAACCGCGGCGCCGCCCGGAAGCCCGCCGGCCTCTGGCCCGCGCGCCGGACACGTTTCTGTGACACACAATCAGCGTGGCCCACCCGGGGGCAGCCCACTTCGGACGCCCGGGAGCCGGGAGGCTTCGCTGGAGACGCTGAGCAAGGGAAGCTAAGGAAAGGACTTCGTGCTGAAGGAGGAGCCGCCGGCGAGACCCTTGGGGGGGAATCCTGCCCCACCCCCTTGTGCCTGCCAGGCTGACCCCGCCTTCTGTCTGCGCCCGGCCCCCGACTGTGACACTGGGACGCAAAGGTCGGACTCGAGGGACAGCGTTTGGGGTGACGGCGTGTTCCAAGGCTGGTACCCAAGGCGAGCAGACGCCAACTGAGCTCATCCACCTGAACTGCCTAGTTCCCCGGGGCCTGGGATCGCCTCCTGCAGTGACTCTACTCTCGGCCCCGCCTTGCCCCTACGTCAGCGCCTCTTCCACCTGCTGGCCTCTCATTTTTTCCTTCCTGCGCTTCCTTGGCTCATCCCACGACACCTTGTGTTTGGCCCCAAGCACGCAGCCACGTCGGGGCCACCGCGGGAACCGTGTCCTCAGGCTGCGGCTGCGAGCATTGAACTTTCCCATCAGTAATGTGCTGTCCCCCCCCCACCCCTCAACTCTCCCATCCCAAACTTCCAACCTGCGGACGCAAGGAGCCCGGAGGGAACTGACGACCGAGCTGCCCGAGATGAAAACTCCGGGCTGCCCGCCCTATTCCCCCACCCCCCAGCCTTCCCTTGGGCAGGAGCTGAACAGAGCCGCAAAGGAAAAAAAAAAGTCTACACTTATTTAATATGATGGTCTTTGCAAAAATGAACAAAACTAAAACCTAACAGGCTGCTTTGTAGAAAGACGGTGCGTGCTGTGGAGGCGAACCTCTCTCTGTACATATCCCCTCCCTCTCTGTCCCGCCCCGCCGGGTACCGTAGAGTCTCTGTCCTCCCCAACTCCACCCTGCCTGTAGATACACCCTTCTGTCCGTGCTGTGAGAGTCGCCGCTCGCTAGGGGGGAGGGGGGGACACAGCTACATGCCCACTAAAGCACAGCACGTCCTAGGGGAGGGGGGCATTTTTTACGTTACAAAAAAAATTATGAAAGAAATCTCTATGCAAAATGACGAACATGGTCCCGTGGACACCTCTCGCCTGTTTTGTTGGCTGTTTCTCTGTAATTCCGTGTTTTCCCGCTCACCACCCTGCATCTCTCCCATTTCATCTCCCTTTACTCTGCTGTTCTCCACCCTTCTGTGTCTCTTTCTCTGCTTCACTTGTCTCTGTCTCGGTCCCTTCTGCCTCAGGCCTCCAAGGCTACATTAAAGGTGGCAGAGCCAACCTCGGGGCTTGTCCCCTTGTGGCCATGCCCCACGTGCCCGACAAGGCCGCCCTGCCCCGCCCCACCCTGTAGTTGCTCTCTCGGTAGCGGCGATGCTCCCTGCATGTCTCCTCAACCGTGGATCGTGACGACTCGAAATAACAGAAACAAAGTAAATAAAAGTGAAAAAAATAAGTAAATAAATAAATAAATAAATAAATAAAAATCCTTGAACAAATCCGAAAAGGCTTGGAGTCCTAGCACAGATTGCCTTTCCCTTCGAGCCTTTTTATTTGAAAAGGAAAGCGAGAAAAGAAAACAGTCTAAGGGAACTGCCGGCGTCCGACCGTGGCTGGAGCCGGATGGCGAGGGCAACGAGGTCCCAGCTTCGAGGCCCAGGCTGACCCCAGTCTTGTGTGGAGCTGGCCGCGCTCCAGGAGTGCGGAATCCAGAATAAGGCTTAGCCTTCCACAAGTGCCGGGCTCCTCCGACACTTTCAGCTTGTCGGTTCGTTTTGATTATTTTTTCCTTTTTTTTTCTTTATTTCTTTCTTTCCTTCTCTCTCTTCTTTCTTTTTTTGTGCACATGATAAATAATAATAAATAATAATAATAAAATTTTGTATGTCACTCCCCATGGCTCCAGGTTTGTCTCTCCCTGCCTCTGGGATAGGCCTGTCCTCGCACTGGTAGACCCTCAATAATTCTGTCAGGGATCAGCTCCATTCCCAATGCGACCTCTAAATTCTTGGTCTAGACTCCCCATGACTGAAGCTGAACTCTGACAATGGCCTAGAGAAGTCTGTCCCACAACGCTACCCCTCCCCCACCTACCCAGGCCTTGGGCCAAAAAAGTTTTGGCTTTCTGAAACTTCAGAGTAACTTTGACACTGCCCTTCTCTGCCAAATCAGCTTTGCCTTATTGCTAGTGTCCTATAACCACCCTAGAGGCACAGGCTCCCAGAATGAGCAAAGTCTGGAGCCCTCTCTTCATGGGTGGTGGTTGCCTGCGGTCCTGTTTTCTCTTGGCTCTCAAAGTGGGTTCAGCTGCTCATTGGCACAGTCGTAATTATGTCCTGTGTCCCCTAAGAGACCACAGAGGTTCGTTTTCAGCGTTTATTTCTAGACCCTAAGAGCCGGCTCGTGGGGACCTTGTGAACACCAGGATGTTGCCTGGTGACCTTTCAAGCAGCTGCTGAGGGTAGTGGCTCAGGTCTAGAGTCTGGGTGTACTCAAAGAGAAAAGCCATTCAGGTGCCCCAGGCAAAAGGGGAGTGTGAGTGAGTGGGTCAGTTGATTCCTGCATATAAATGGATTTTTGTTCTTCTGTGTGGGCCTATATGTCCTAGAGGGGTTCTGGCATCGAAGAAGGAAATATGTTGTGATCTTTTTAAACATGTGGTATTTGAGCTCAGGTGAGAGTGAAGAAGGATCTATGTCTGTCCTTGTTTCTGTTCATGCTTAGAAAAAAATGATTTCCGGATTGTCCATGATTGGCGTACTCTATTGGAGAAACTTAGAAATGTCCTTGTCCATCTCTTCAGCATCTTGTTCACTCTGACTCATTCCTCCTTGCCAACACAGCCTTAAAGTCCCAGCCTTCATCTGCCCCACACTCTGAGAGACTTTCCTGCTCAACTCTAGAAGTTTCTGTAGCTAATCTTCCTTCTCAGCCGCTGCCCGTTTAAAAAGCTCTAACCTTCCAGGAAAGCAGGATCTGGAAGTAGACTAAAGAGTCACACACACACACACACACACACACACACACACACAGAGAGAGAGAGAGAGAGAGAGAGAGAGAGAGAGACAGAGACAGAGAGAGACAGAGACAGAGAGACAGAGACAGAGACAGAGAGACCTGAGAGACCTACCTACTCTGGCTGGGGCAGTGCCTTCCAGGTACCTCCTCCTCCCCAACATGCTTTGCACCAGAGCAGTTCATCCATATTCATATTCTGTCACCCAGGCTTATCCATATCATGCCACCAGGGGGATACACAGCAAACCATTAACCTCTTCTCTCCCCTTCCTCACCTGTGTCTCTCATTCTCCTTCCCAAGAACTAGCAATCCTACCTCACCCTGCCTGGTGCTTCCCCTCTTGGCCTCCAGTCTCCTGAATTACAAAAAAAAAAAAAAAAAAAAAAAAAAGTCCTTCAAACTCTGGCTGTACTAATACAGCTATATAAGAATTCTGGAAGTCCACGCCAAGTTAAGCACATCTATTTATTTATACTTCCCATAAAGGTACTAGTGCATTATGAATGAAAATGGAGCCGGGCGGTGGTGGCGCACGCCTTTAATCCCAGCACTTGGGAGGCAGAGGCAGGCGGATGAATGAAAATGGAAGTCATTTTGAGCCCTTTGGAAGATACTACTCCACATTAGAGTGCATTCTCAGAGCTTCCAAACACAGCCAGCACAGAACTCCTGCTGATCATCTGATGTTCAACGAGGGGATTCTGAAAGCTGACAGGACACTGGGTTGGACCAAGGATCAGTGCATTTATCAGGATGCTGCCCTAGCCAGACCTGACAGGCACCTGGCCTTAGATACCTGCTTTGACCTAGCCAACATCAAACTGAAAGCCAGAGACATTTTCATGAACACTCTCAGAGTCTCTTGTCTTCTGGTCTCCCTCCCACTGACATAGACAGCAGAGGTCACACTGTTTACAGCAGCTGTTTCTGGGGAGAACTTTCCTTCCTAGAGTATTGGTTTCATCTTGAAATCAGCCTGAAAGCCCCGAAACATGCTCTGGAGTCTCTGCCAGCTGCTTAGTCTAACCACAACCCTTTCACCCATCCAAACACCAAAAGGATCTGTTCTCCAGCTTCAATTTGCTTTCCCTAGAATTCTGTCTGCTAGCCCTGCCCCATCTCATTGGCATAGATTCCCAAGTGAGATCACCAAATATAACAGTTTAATAGAGAGAGTGAGAGAAAGGGCCCCAAGCTAGGCAAACAGTTGGGGGCAAAGACATGAAAGTATCCAAGAGTGACTAGAGTATCAGGTGCCTGGGGAGGAACAGGAGAATGTCAGATGATGCTTAAAAGTAGTTTAGTTGGTACCCAGGACACTGGTGAGAATCTCAAAATGACACCTGCCATGTAAAGAAAGCTGAGTCACCCATAGTCACATCCTGTCCGTGTACACAGCATATCAGACTAAGTCCACACCGAGACAATCTTTCTTGCTTTCTCACGAAGCAGAGGTAGGCAATATGGAGAAAATGAGGGTGTTTCCCAGGAGAGGCAAAGCCCTTGAAGGCCCAGAGAGGATGCCCTGATTTTCATCGGATCAGTAAAGCTATATCCATTCTATAAGGTGCTCAAGGCTAAAGCCCAGTCTTCCCAGACTCCAGTCTTTTTCATCCCACATTCATTTGATCCACCAGCAAAATCAGTCTCCATTAAGAACAGGCCCAGAGCTGGGAGATGGTGATGTACATCTTTAATCCCAGAAATTGGGAGGCACAGGCAGTCAGATCTATAGAACAAATTCCAGGACAGCCAGGGCTACACAGTGAGATCCTGTCTTGGGGAGAAAAAAAAAGGCCCAGAATATGTCCATTTCCTACTCTCTGCTCTGTACCATACTGCCCAAGCCACCAGAACTTGTAAGGAAATAAAGGAGGAAGGAAGGAAGGAAAGAAGGAAGGAAGAAAGGAAGGAAGGAAAGAAGGGAGGGAGGGAGGGAGGGAGGGAGGAAGGGAAGGAGGGAGGGAAGGGAGGGAAGGAGGGAGGGAGGAAGGGAGGGACAGAAGGAGGGAGGGAGGGAGGAAGGAGCCCTAGTTGGTGTTCCTGCTTCCATGGTCCCAACTGCACTCCCGCCATGCCTCTGCCCTCTGCCCTCTAAAACCCCTCAGCTGGTTCTCTGTCCCGCTCAGAGTGAATCCTGACTGAGCTCCAAGCTCTCCACTCTCTAGCTGCTCATCGAAGCTCCACCCTCACAGCCACCAAGGGTCCCCTCCTATCACAGCCCTCTCAGCTTGCTGTTCTCCCTGCTGGCCTCCGGGCTGTGCCAGTCATGCCAAACATGTACCTCCTGTCTGCCAAAGACACACTTGATTGCCTGGAAAATTCTTCCCCTGGATAAGCCCATGATTGGTTCTCTCATTTCCTAATGTTTTCTACCCCAGTGTCAGCCATCAGAGAGGCTTCCTAACCACCTTAAATAAATAAAGCAGCGCACAGAGACCGGGGGTGTAGCTTGGTAGTTGAGCACTTGCCTAATACACATAAGACCAAAGGTTTAATCTGCTGTACTGAGATAAATAAATAAACAAATTAAACAACGCCGCACGCTCTCTACTCGCTTCCGTGCTTCCTCAGATTGTTTCAGCAGGACCTGGGAGGTTAGATTTTTATTTCTTTGCTTTTGAGACAGGTCTCAACTTGCCTTAAATTCTCCCTGTAAACCAGTTTGGTCTAGATTCATAGAGACTCACCGTCTTTACCTCTCGAGTGCTGAGATTAAAGGTGTGCAGCACCACACCCAGCAGGCTACTCTATGCTTGTCTATCTCCTATCGTCTGCAAATAGAATGCAAGTGTAAGAGGATACAGGCAGCTTTGTGCTTTTTGTATGACAGGTGTACATTGGGATGTCAAGGACATTGTTTGACACACAATGGCTGTTCAACAAACACGACAGAAAAACAAGAATGAGGGAGTGTGGGAAAATAATGTGTAGGCAAGAGGCTTGAGGTAGAGGCGGGCACAAGGAAGAGGTGAGAGAAGGAAGAGAATGACCAAAGATGTTAAAAGAAGGTTCCAGAAGATAGCTGCTGCTCCTTCCACAGCCCAGTGGTTTGAGACTGATAAGCACCAAACTTCTCAAATAACTGTTCTACCCAACTCAAAGCACCAATCACAGTTCCTGTGGGAGCCACTGGGGTGCACCACTCCTTCCATGGAAGACTAGCCATGCACAAACCAGTGTAGCTCTTGAGGCACTGACAGAGTGCCACATCAGCTCCTGAGCACAAATGGGGCCCTGAGATTCCCGTTTGATAATGAAGACCTCATGTCTCTGGTTACAGGGCATAGGTCTCAAGTTAGAAACAGGTGGGAGAAAGAAGTGAATGACCAAAGAAGGAGTATCTGAGTTGCTAAAAGAAGGTTCCAGAAGATAGCACCTTTAATCCCAGTACTGAGGAGGCAGAGGCAGGCAGATCTCTGTGAGTTCAAGGTCAGCCTGGTCTACATAGTGAGTTCCAGGACATGCAGATCCTGTCAAGAAGAAGAAGAAGAAAAAGAAGAAGAAGAAGAAGAAGAAGAAGAAGAAGAAGAAGAAGAAGAAGAAGAAGAGGACG